TGGCGTGGCGGCCGCGGCACGAGATGGATGAGGTCGGCCTGCAGGGGGCCCCGGCCCCGGGCCCCTAGGCTGGCGCTGGCGCTGGCGCGGCCCGCGTCTGTGTGGCACCGACACGGTACAGGTGCATTAGCAAGCCATTAGCCTCCTCGCCTCGAGTGCCCCGCCCCGCCCCGAGTGCCGTTACCCCGTAACGTTCTATGGGCCACACCGGGGCGCGGTCACCCCACCTCACCCCACCACACCCCCACCACATCCACCCTACCCGACTCCGGCGCCCTTGATGACGCGGCGAAGGACTAAGCTTGCTCGAACAAAAACATTCCCCTTGCTCGCGAGCGAAACAACTCCCACCAGGGGGACACGCAGCCAAAAGAAACAGTGTCCCCTCGTGATTTGTTAACTGCACGGAAAAGAAAAGGGGTTGAAGAAGAAGAAGAAAGCGCCCGCCACCGCTATCCAAGCGGGGCGGCCCGTTCAAAGTTGAAATACGGCCATTTATTCCGGCGCCTCGCTCGGCTCCTCGGGCCGCCGCCGTGCGGATCGTCGCCGCGCCGGCGCATGGACAATGCCTTGAGCTCGTCACGCCAAATGACTGCCACCCCCGCCCCGCCCCGCCCTCCTCCCTTGGTGCTCCCTCTTTTCACTTTTTGCCTTTTCACGCTCCCCTCCTGTGATTTAAGACCCTCTTAAGAGAGAGACGGAGCTGCTGAAACTTTCTCCCGCGCGCGCACCGCGGGGGGCGGCAGCATTCGCGCGCTCCTCTCCTCTCGTCGCCCATTAGCGAATGACGTCACACCTCGCTAGCTACAACAGTGCACCGCCCGCCCCGGCCGCGCTCACTCCCGGGACTGTGTTTTGTTGGTCGTGTGGTCTGGAGCCCCTCCTCTCCCCGCCCCCCCCCCCACTCCTATTTCCTCCCGTGGTCGGGGCTGCACAACATCTGGCCTCCTCCGACCACCCCCTCGGCAGCGACCCCACTGTGCTCCAGGGAGAGCCCGCGCTGCGTACAGCTGCGTAGCGCAACCCGCCTTCAATAAGTAAACGCAACAGGTGTGCGAGTGCGCGGCGCAGACAGCCTGCCCCGCCTGCCCCGCCTGCCCCGCCTGCCCCGCCTGCCCCGCCTGCCCCGCCTACTCCTCCTGCGCCCCGCCTGCCCCGCCTGCCCCGCCTGCTCCACCACTCGCTCTCTCTGCTGAGTGGGCTGACTCCTTTTCTTCCCCCGTCATCCGCTCGGGGACTGCCGCTACCCGCACGGAAAGCTCCTGCAGTCGGCGGGATAGGCAACCCACTGCGCTCGGCCGCACGCCGTGCAGCCGTGCTGCCTACCCAGCAGGCGCTTCGGAGACTCTGAGTCAGGGCTTCGTAAGGGATCATCTAGAAAGTACGTTCGTCAATCGCCGTTTCGAACCTGCCAAGTTCAGCCTAGGCAAGGTCCCATAGCGCCTGCTGGGTAGGCAACATCCTGCCTGCAGTGCAGGCGTGTACTGCGGGGTGGCCTACTCCGAGGCTCACAGGCGCCGAGCTCCCGTATTTTGTCGAAGGAATCCGAGAAAAACGGACGTACTTTCTGGACGATCCCTAATGTAACGCGGAAGGAAAACGCATGAAAAGGAAAGCAAAATTGAAATTTCAATGCATTTTGAAGCGTTTTTGAAAATTTTCTAAGGTATTCTCATGTAAAAACGCTTTTAGAAAGGTGAAAACGCTACATTGGCGCTTTTTTTTAAGTTGTCATTTTATTTTTTGTTCAGTGCGCTTTTTGTTACGCGTTTGCATTCTGTACGGTACGACGCCCTGCTAGCAACAACGACTTCAATAACGCCTCCCTCGTCTCGTGCTGTTGCAGGTGGAGAACTCGCTGTCCACCTACGAGCCGCACGCGTGCGTCGTGGTCTACAGCATCACGGGCAAGGAGTCGTTCCGGACGGCCGAGGACATCCTCAACTACCTGTGGCGCGAGCGCTACACGCAGGAGAAGAGCGTCATCCTGGTGGCCAACAAGGTGGACCTCGCCCGCTCCAGGGTCATCTCTACCAACGGTGAGGAGAAGGGGGGGGGGACTAACGGGGTCAGCCAGCCCTCCCCTCGTGTGCGGGACAGCGGCGGGGACAGCTCGGGAACAGCCCGCGCTGTTCACGTCACGTTGCCGGGGCTCGGGCTCCCCCCATGCCATTTTTTTTGTTATTATTCCCATGATTCACTTCTTTTTCAATTCGCCGCTCGCTCTTTTCCGCCGGGCGCTCCGCGCGCCACGCCGCCGCCCTTTCATCCCCCGCGCGTTTTCTGCGCCATCAAGGCACATCCGCGGGTGACCTGGGGGTTGGGGTTGGGGTTGTTCGAGGGGGGTAATTGCACAGGCGGTGGCAGGGGAGGGGTGTAGTGGTCAGGGGCGCATCCTGCGCCATAGAGCAGCCAGGCCGCGGGGTCGAGCGAGATATACAGGGGGGGGGGGGTGCAGAGCAAAAATATATCTTCTGAAAACGCTCATGCTTTGCCTGAAGAACATCAGAGTCCGATCTTCAAACAGGCAAAATTTTCGCTTAAACTTTAAGGTACATAAAGTGAACGTCTTTAAAATGATATCGGATTTAACAGCGTATAGGACTCATTACAAGAACACCAGTGCATTTCAAGTAGAAATTCAGCTCCGTGGGCGGCTAATCAACATAAAAAGGTACCATACTTTTACACATCGGATATTTGACAGACAGACAGGCAGAGCCAGGGTTGAGGAGTTGGAGCCAGTTGGAAATAGAGATAAAGAACACATCGTCGTGCTCGAGGAGAGTGAGTTGGGAGCAGGGCAAACGGGTGGAGACGACGAAACAGATCGTGTTTCGTCTGGGACTCGGCTGGGCACGACATTTCCTAGTGCGGAATCTGTGAGCCTGAAAAAAAAAGAAAAAAAGATAGAGAGACAGAGAAGGGGGGATGGGGG